GTGCATCGCTTCTAGTAACAAGTGCCTTACTAGTAGTAACAAGAAGCTACTTGGAACAAGTGCATCGCTTCTAGTAATAAGTGCCTTACTAGTAGTAACAAGAAGCTACTTGGAACAAGTGCATCGCTTCTAGTAACAAGTGCCTTACTAGTAGTAACAAGAAGCTACTAGGAACAAGTGCATCGCTTCTAGTAACAAGTGCCTTACTAGTAGTAACAAGGTTCGCTACTAGAAACAAGTGCCACGCTAGTAGTAACAAGTGCCTTACTAGTAGTAACAAAGACGCTACTAGCTTCCTTTAGACCCTTAGACTCTAACAGCGATGGCCTCCAACCTACAAGCGATGGCTTCCACCCCAAGAGCGATGGCCTGCGCCCTAAGAGCCGTGAGTTCACGGAATATTTTTGTTGGAATCATTTCGATGGAATTCCTTTTTTTGGGCACACGGTACCGTTGTGAAGATCGAGCTTCTCTCTGGTGGTGTACGTCGTCACCCTGTTACTTGAGACAGGGGCGAGTCATGGCGATTCAACAACTTTCAAAACACAAGACAACTTGGAACGCAACAGGCTTTCATGATCTCATTGCATTTTCTTGAAGATGTCATGACCCTTGAAAGATTTCACTCTTCTTTTGCCTTGGACATTTCTTCTTTTTGGACATTTATGTTTTTTGTTTCTTTTGGTTGTTGTTTTGCTCTCATCTTTTGGATTTGTAAGGTGGGAGAGCATGTAGTTGCCAGCCTCGGACTCAATGGCGCTGGCCTCAACGTGCACCAATGATGGAATGTTTCAGGCTGTGACGCGGACAATATCGACACCAAGGTTGTTCAGGCCTTCATTGTATGCTAAATGTGTTTAGTGAACGTTGGTCACAGCGAGCCGACAAACGACTCCACGTTTCGCTTTGTTACTTCCGTGTTGTTGCTCGTTCCCTGACGAGTTTGACGAATTGCCTTCTTGCACTTTACGTTGCCGGGAGCCTTCTGGGAAAAACTGAGAAAAGCCATAGAAAAGGTTCTAGAAATAAGCTAGTAGAAACAAGTGCCACGCTACTAGGAACAGGTGCCTTACTAGTAGTAACAAGGTTCGCTACTAGGAACAAGTGCCTTACTACTTTTTGTTTTTCATTTCTCCGTCTCAACGAACCCTCTTGGAACCGTACACCGGCACCATTCGAGGTCCGGACCCACCGGTGTCTCCGCCAGGCTTTGAGAAGGCAACTGCTGTTTTTGCTTTGAAAAAGAAGGTTTTGAGTGCATAAACACAACTGAGTGTTTTTTGTGCCCTTTTCTCGCTGAAAAGTGCTGTGTGCTTGACTGCACGGCTCAGTGGGGGCTGCGGTGAGCTGCGCAAGGACAAAGTCGCATGCATTCGCACCATGCTGCAAGAAGGCTACTAGAGGTTCCTGGCATCGCTACTAGGAACAAGGATGCTATTAGGAACAAGTGCCTTACTAGTAGTAACAAGAAGCTATTAGGAACAAGGGCATCGCTACTAGGAACAAGTGCCCTACTAGTAGTAACAAGAAGCTAGTAGTAACAAGTGCATCGCCGAGTTGGGAGACATGCAGCGGCATGCGGTCATTTGGAGCAGGTGAGTGGGAGATGGAAGTGTGCAGAGGGCTTTGGAGGAGCGCAAGACAGAGTCTACAAAACATCACAGGGAACGTTTCTGTGGACTTATGTTGTTCTTGATTTTGAGATGTATGTTACTGTGCAACAGGATTTCTTCGAAATGTGTAACAACTACCGTCAGTGCGCGTGAATGCCGTCCAGGCACACCCATGATCTCCTGCGTCCGGACCAGCGACTTGGCGTTTACCATACCACGACCATAGTATGTCATTTTCTACTGATATGTAATGTTTTCCTGCATTCTTTACTATAATTTCATGGGGAATGCCTTAAACAGTTGAATTTCAATTCAATTTGCCTGAAATTTTTTGCCAAGTATCGAGTTTTTTGTGAACGTCAACAGTTGTGCAGCGTGCCCCACAAAACCAAGAGTGATCTAGATGTGACAGACCGATCAATTCTTTGTGTTTGCGCGCTCAAACATTCCAGGCAGAAAGACGATTCGGACCTTTCAACAACGCACACAAGAAAGAAGGTTTTAAATTATAAGCCGTAAGCCGTTAGTTAAGCAATCACTCACCTGGCAGAACTGATCGGCAAATATGCGTTCCACTGTAGTATGTGAACGATGCTTGTGAACGGACCACTTCCGGTTTTTGAGCACCCCCCTTGGCTGAGACTTTGTTGCTGTTGGTCGTCCTCAATAGGCATAGCTTGTGTTTCGATTTGTTTTTGTATGGTGCCACACACAAACATGGAAGTTCAGATTAGGTTGTTGTTTCAGGCATGGAGCCTGACAATCGCTAGCGTAAGGGATCGGCACAGTTTTGGACAAAAACGTGCTGGACTTTTTCTTGTTCCTAGAAGCTTCTTTGTTCCTACAAGTAAGGCACCTGTTACTACTAGCGTGGCACTTGTTATGCGTTATTCGTTACTGAGCTGCGTGATTCGTGATTCGCTATACTCAGCCGCGATTCGTGATTGGTTTCGGGATAGCCTCGAGATCCCTGACCCTGAGAGTGATTCGTCATTCGGTATTCGTGATTCGCAACCCTGTCTTGGAGCTTCTCCGGATCACGTCTCAATTCAATTTGGAGTTGTTAACATGTTTTCTGTTGCTGCATTTAATTTCTGCAGTATTTTTCAACGTGTCAGGTGGTTGTGACCTGAACGTCACGATGAGCGGATGCTCACCTTTGGTCTCGCCGTGTTCTCAGAGGTTTTGGGACAGACTGTGTTTGACCGCAAAGTCCCGTGGAACACTGACAGCAACATCTAATGCACCAGCACGGTAACATGTAGAAGCTGGAAAGTGAAGCAATTGAACCAGTAGCAGTAGCCCCACAAGTTTTAGAAGTTTTAAGTTGGGGAATGTCGGAACAAGACACATACACTTAGTCACAGGTTCATCCAGTATCAGAACCCACGTCAAAAGGAGTGATGGAACGGAAAGGTGGCTGAGTCCAGTGAATTGAAGATGTTTCAACAAAAAGTTGACGCGTGTCTGCAGTAGTGGCACGACGGCTGCTGAAAACGGCTGAGGGAAAACCTGCTTGGGGAAGTATCGTGGAGAACCACCATGAAAAGCAAAGAACAGCGGAGGGCTCACACGAGCTCCTTCTCAAGTGTGTGTGTGTGTGTCCACTCCTGTTTCCAAGGACACTACCCTAACTCTTTTTAACCTACCCTATGATCTTCCTGACCAATGTACAGCAGCAGGGGGTGGTAGCAAGGCAGAGAGTCTACCACCAACGAAGACGCTCTCCAAGCCTTGGTGATACTGGGACTGATCATCCCAGCGTACCTGCTTAATTCAATTTTAATTCAATTTTTAATCTTCAGTCATCCGATGTTTCAACAATTCTGTTCGACCGACCCAGCATTTTCCTTTCAGTCAAGTGCTAAGTATTCACTTAAAGGGCTAATGCACACCGCGAAGCAGCCTGAAATCGCGCTCCACGGAGCAACCTTCTCAAGTGTGTCTCCGCAGCTTCTTCCCACTGTGGTAAGCTGTGTGATCCCTACGGGGCGCCGTTACTGCAAGAACCTTTCCACCCCTCATCGCAGGGGTAAGCTTTCTGAAGTCTTTCTGAATTTTCTTCACCGAATTTCATTGCTCGAAATTAGCTTGAATTGTCTCACCCAGCACACGTGAAGTTTACTGCAGAGTTCACTGAATTTCCTTCTGAAATGCACTGCAGAGTCAAACTGTAACTGTTTCACCCGGGAATCCTTTCCTTTCAATTTTTCAATTTCAATTTAATCTCAACATTTTAATTGAAGTCAATTGCACACTCCTCCTCTTTGCAGCGACCTGTTATATAACCTACAGTTTCACTTATTCAAGTTCAAGGACTGCTTTGATCCACCTCTATTTTCACTTACATTGACCTTATTCGACTTGCCGAGCAGCCATGACGTATCCCTGGCCGTATTCACTACCAACACATCTACAACAGCAACCACAGCCTTCACTACCAACACATCTACAGCAGCAACCACAGCCTTCACTACCAACACATCTACACCAGCAACCACAGCCCACACAACCACACTGGTTTCCATACCCATCACATGCTCCACCGCAGCCATTTCCAACATTGCCACCAGTTCCACCACATCATCCAATCCCACATGGTTTTCCATTTTCCACACCACCTCCACTTCAAGCCCAATACACGCAGCCACCTCCAGTACAGGCACATTTTCCAGTACAACCTACCGCTCCTATTGACAGTCCGCAACAGCATCAACTTCATGCGACACAACCACTCCAATCCTATGTCCACACACATTCCACATTGCCACTCCAACCTCAACCACAACCACCACATCAACCACATCCACCACACACGACAAGCCACTCACCACCCACACCATTACCACAACCACCTCCTCCAACAACTGATCCATCACACACCACCAATACAGCCGTGACCGCTCCACCACAGCCTACCACACAGCCCACCGCACCGGCTCCGCCACCACCACCACCACACACTCCAGCAACCCCCACCGAACCGGTTTCAGCATCCATCAACACACCAGCTCAACCTCCACCACCACTCAACGTGCCACGCGCAACCAAACCAACACCATCTATAGCACCCACCCTAAGCACCGCAAGAGGTATTTGGCGCGACCCAGATCGCTCACCACCTCGCACACCGGAACACCACCGCTACACAGCTTTCCCTGCAGTCCCCACCATCGCACCATCACAAGCTACATCCAGATCCAGGAGCCGCACTCGGTCAATACGTACCACACGTTCTCCACTGCCACGAAGGCGAAGCTCAGCCACACAATCAGTGGCCAGCTCACAACCACATTCCACACCTACTGGCAGACACACATCACCAGCACACACTCAAGAAAAAACCCACACTTCCACCCATGACATCACACCTGCCACCACTACAAAACACAGTGGGGACTCACCTCACCGTTCTTCAAGCATCACACTCAAACCCAACCCACATTACACTTCCAAACATTCCACCAAGCAGTCACCTACACCGCCGCCCATTGCACCACCACCTGTTCCTGTTCAACGTCGTCCACACAACCTACCTCCACCAAAATTCCAACCACCCACTGATCCTGCACAATTGGATGTCTTCCAATGGATCAACCACTACGCACAATCACTTGATGTCAAAAATGAACCCATGATTTCCTACGTGGCCAAAGTGCTCAGTGCAGCTCATCTCAACAGCACCCACTTTACGGACCTGCAACTTCTCACCCACACAAAATGGAGCGGTGACACCAACAAGGAAGAACATCATTCATTCCTACTACTCACCATCCCCACACTAGCGAGCAGGGGCGACGCCCCGGTCCTCCCTCCCACACGGCGAGAGGCTCTGAACATACCACCCATAAAACATATTTTTGCGGCACACGTTAGTGAGGAGGGCAACATCATTTCAATACTCGAAACGGGTGAAATCGTGCGATCCATTCTGCATGATGACAACAACGTTGGTTACTTTTGTCAGGCTTTCGAACTATCGAACTATGAGCCACATGATGTTGCTGAAGCTGCACGCGTGCTATTTAATGCCTCGAACATGGCCAAGAACCGCAGTGGTCTCATCTTGACGATCAAAGCCTACGGACACGGCCAGAAAGTAACTCATGGTGGCGAATCCGCAGCGAATGACCTGCTGCTCAAAGGAGAAGGGATTGTAAAATATACCCCAGGAAAATGCTGGGTAGCACATCCCAAACACTCAAGAATAGAAGGGATTGCTTGGAAAAGCGATGCAAAGCCACCGCTCAGCTTCATTTAATTCAACCTATCCAGCCCAAGAGGATCTTTTTCACCCCATATCTCGGATGACGACAAGGCCTCAAAATTTCCATGCTGATTGCACTTGATTCCCGTAGTCATCTTTCAACTTTCAGCTTTCCACTTTATCCAAAGCTCCGATTGTTTTGATATTTCGATGCGATTCAATATGACCTACGATTTTATTCCACGACTTTTTCACCTCTTCACCTTGCACCGCAGCCATTTTGTATTATTCAAATTATTGAGCACGACCTTTTACATTCGCGTCAGCCATATTGGTCCTACGACGAGTACTACGACGATGACCTCTCCCATGGACACAGCTTTTGCACATCGACTTCTTTTAGCCCACCTTCAGGCAGCTACATCCATTGCCACTACGTTTCAGAACCTTCCACTTTTCACACCACAACCACCACCGCCTCCCCACCACCAACCTATTACCACTCCAACCTCTTCCAAACGATCAAGCAGACGCACTCCACCACCGCAGCCACCACCACCTCCTCTTTCACGCAGCCGCAGCCCACCTCGCGCCAACAAAGAATCTCTCTTGAGATGCAAGCCAGAACCTTCACCCTCCCACACGCCCACTTCACCTCATCAGCACTCACCACATCACCACAAAGACAAAGCCATTCAATCGCGACCTCAACACAAGAACAATGCAGACCTCCAACAACAACAACGCACGCCACCGATCACAACGATTTCTCTCAGCAGCTTGCCCACTTCACTTCCACAGCCATTACCAACTCCACCACTTCCTACACCACCACCTCCCACTTCACCAGCACCAAAACCAAAACCACCACAACTTCTCACAGACCCCCCTCCTTATCCTGACAATGGAGGATGGGAACCCAGCGAAGATGAAAAACTGGCGGCGTTCAAACTCAACAAGCGAGCTCGCCCCAGTTGGAAATACATTGCCAAAGCACTCAACAAAACGCCTTTTGATTGCAAAGGTCGATGGCAAGTCTTACGAATTCTTTACACACCTCAACAGCCAGAAAGCCCTGAAGCAGAAGCCGAAGCAGCATCGCCTCACAAAACAACCCATCAAGCTGAACCAACGCCTCCAGCAACACGAGACGCCAGTACGATGACTACAGAACCCCCGGCTCCAGCAGACAAATCAGACAAAGAGACATAGCTCAACAGCACATGATTGACAACAGTTCATTTTGGACATCCAGTTCGCTATGACTACTTTGTGCTGAAGAACATCCAAAATCATTGATGGCCTTGTACTTATTGTCAATTTGCAACTATTTACATATTTGCCCAGTGCCTTTCTGTCGTTTCAGCAGTTGTGAGCAATCGACTCCAACCCATGAACATTGCCATAATTTTCTTCCACACGTGCGGCCAAAAAACAAGATCGATTGACAATGTAGCACTTTCGATTGAACAAACCTATTTCACATCGAGAGTCGTCAAATAACAGACCATTGCCACATCGCCGACTCCTTGTACAGACCGGTCAGTTCACTGCGCCCAATTTACTCTTTTCCGATGCATGTGCGAGATTTACCTCCTTTGTTGTTGATTGCTGTTATTGTTATTGTTTTTGTCATTATTGGCCTTGACGACTTTCCTGATCTTGGTTTTACTTTGATATTATTGCAGCTCGGCCATTCAACTTAGCTCAGCTTTTCGTTTGTGTACAGATATTGCGATGGACTCCCTGGTTGCCTTGGACGCTCAGATTATTTCACAGCTGCGAGACACCAACATCCAGATCAACCGGCTCCTGGTACTTCAACTCAACCGACTACATGACACCATCAAACAATTACAACAAGCCGATTCAGACACCAACAACCAAGACCCACGCCTACCAGGTCGAATCCAACAGCTCCAAACGTTGCTGCCCACGATGAAAACGACATTGGAGCACC